GAAAGGCTCCAAGATGCTCTGCTGCACAGCATGGGATCAATGGTCCTGGAGCAGTTGACTGGTAAAGGAACATCACATCTGTGATCCTACTTTCTGATGAGGTCAGTAGGAGTTAGAACAAACTCCTTTTATTGAACTTCACAGTCTACAAAAGCCAAGTGCTTGATGCATGTATTCAACAGAAGTCCTTCCTTCTTAGGCATGCCACAGAGTCAGCACATCTAAACACGTGCTTCAAGTTAAATCCACTTACTGTTGTAGTAATGAGCATGCACGCTAACCACTGCCCTCTCCCTATAAATCAATGGTGCATTAATTCATCAGCAGCGGTACATGAGCACACTTGTTAGGTGCGCCTAGTACTTCATTCATCACTCCTATACGTCAGTAGTCAAACCTTTCAGGAGTTGCTAATCTGTGTTCCAATTCTGGAATATTTACTGTATGCTGTAGATGCTAGTGGAGTAAAGTGAGAAACTATGAAATAAAATCTTAAACAAAAACAATTAGGATTCAAACAAAACCAAATTCCCATCTGATGCATAATAGCTTTGTTTGTTTGAAATCCTCAGACCTAAGCCGTTGAAAAGTCAATGAGGAGATTTATGTGTTTCTCTTAGAAGCACCCTGGATGCCTAAGCTGAAAGAGGGTCTCAGAGTCACTGATTCTGTCTTAGCTTTGTCTGTCTGCATGGCTGCGTTCCCACTTCCTGAAGCAAAATTTTAGGAACTTGGTCTTGGGCAGCAACATTGGTAAGCAACAGGAGAGGTGAAGATGAGTCATTTGCCTGCAGCGATCATCCCTGTTTGCTGTCTCTTGAAGGAATGTGCATGCACGTAATTATGACCTTTTTCTTAGATATGATCTTCCCTGGGTTTGTGTGTGTCCTAGAGGAATGTCTTGCTTTTGAAGACAGCACATAGCTGAATTTTTGTGGGTAGACTTAAGGAAATAGCCTGTGCCATGTTCTGGGTCAGATGTTGTCATCCCTCACTGCTTGGGGTACCTGCAGACATGGGCCAGGTCCCTGTCTCGTGACAAAAGAATTCCCCCCCCAGACACAGCTTGGCTCCTCAAAGCCCAACACTAATTTCTGAGTGAAAGAAAAAAATATATATATTTATATGTACATATGTGCGCATCCATGCCTGAGGAAATGCCTCAAATCTCCCATTTCATACTTCTTGATATCTTTGTATTTTACAATATCATCCAGAGGTAGTTGTCCATTGGTCTTCTGATCCTGATCACTTTCATGTAGAGTGTTTCTTGATACAATAGCAAGGCATTTAAAACACTGGCTCCAACCATCATCTAGCGGCTGTCTGGAGGCAAGTTTCTTAAATGTTTTGTGTTTAGTTTATAGTTGGCAGAAGTGGTAACAGTACCTCAGCCCATTTTTCAGGTGGTGGAGTTGTAGGTTGTTGATCCTGCCATAGGCACAGGCAGTGTGGTTTTATCTCCGTATAGCAGTCAAAATTAATCCCAGTGGGAAGGTAGCACTGATTTCCGATAGCTGTGTACTTAGGGGCTACCATGCTTCATTTCTGTAGATACTTTACAGGAATTCCAATAGTGAAGTGTTAAAACTGTTTGTCTTCAAAATGAAAGCTATTTTCATCATCAGAGTTGGCAGCCTTTATTCAATATGTGTGTCAAACACAGCTCATTGAATTATTGTGTTGCTCTTCCAAATTTTTATTTAAAAATAATGGAATGGAAACAGATAATTCAAAAGTCTTCACCAGCCCGTTTTAACCAGTTTTAAGGCAGGGAGAAAGGCTCAAAAATGTCAGTGGAACTTTTGCAAACTGCTCTAGCAGGCGTATTTTCCTTCTTGTTTATTATTCTGCTTGGGTAATGGCACTTTCCATCTAAGCAAAGTTCAGGCTCTATGAAACTATGGATGCTACATAGAATGATAACTAAATTATAGGGGAAACTGGCAATAGAAAGGTAAAATAAAGCAAAAGCAATGTTTGGGTCATTTTGGTGATTATGGTAGGTTTTATTATGTATGTATACATTGTCCTGGCCTGTCCAGACTATTTTCATCTTTGTTCAAATATAAGAATAGGAATTAATACCAACCCCACATTTTTGTGTGCGTGTCTGGTTTTGATATCAGAAGGCGGCTCATTCCTGCAGGCTTGTCATGCAGTGCTGCTTTGGTAAGAGGCATTACCTGAGTGAGAAATGTAAGTTTTGGCAAATGAAACCCTTTCAGCTTCTCTGGACTGTTTCACTGCTGAGAGATGCAGAATACCAGCTGGCCACATCAGCTTGCAGAGATCCAGATGTGTTAGAGTAATGTAAACTACCCTTTCCAGTACAAACAAATTCTGTTAAAAACCGGTTAAAAGACCAGTTTAATTTGTCCTGTATTTTTGCAAATTGCTTTTAAATTGTTCTTAATGACAAAATTTATTTCAATATAGGCACGAAAGAGGCAGGCAACCATTAGACATAAAAAACCTTCCTCCTTTCCTCTATGATTTCATAGCAACAAAGACTCAGGATCACATATTCTAAAGTGCTTAACATCAGCACGTTCCACTTTGTGGATGATGGATGTTATTTTATGCCATCTGTCTAAAGGAACAACACCAAAATGTACAGCTCTGTCTTCTCAAATGAGTTTTATTTTGTGTCAGGGTCCAGTTTCCATTTCCATAGATGTCTTGGGTGAATTCTCCTGTGCAGACTACAATCTTTTTTATTTCCATGTGTCAGAGATCAGATTGTCTTGATCCAAGATGTCCAGAAATGTCTTCTGCACTAGAAGAAGGTTTGGAAAATGCTTTTAACCTTGATTGTTTTTCCATTATTCTTGCCATTTTGGTATAATGGGAGATCATCTGGCCGTGGAATTAGAGTGACTTAAGTAGGCACCCAGTTTTTCCATCTTGCAGGTCAGTCTGCTCTTGAATGTGTCCTTAGCCTGGCTTGGTGACCCTGACATCTGGGTGGGGTTTTTATATGCCTGGCTCTTACATCAAGAACGTCTCAAAAAGGCTTGAGTCAGGGATGCCTGCTTACTTATCTCAGAGTAGGGTGATAATGTGGAGACATAGTATGGGGAAGCTGGCATGCCTTAGAGAGCTGAGAACATCTGGTTTGTGTTAAATTGACAAGAAATAATGCGCATTTGGTTTCAACTGCTATATTGAGGTGCCTTGTGCAGCATTTTGGATTAATAGATATCAAAGAATTGTAAATACCTTTTTAAATGGGGAAAGCGTGGGGCATCCTCCTGGCTACCATGGCCCACTGCTGTCTCATGTTGAACCTGCTGTCACCAGCACCCCCAGGTCCCTTCCTGCTCAGGCTCTCCAGCTATTCATCTCCTCCAGGCCGTGCCTATGTCTGCATTATGCCATCCCAGCTGCACCACCTGGCATTTTCCTTTGCTGGATTTCAGGCCGTTGCTGATTGCCCAGTGCTCCAGTCTGTCTATCCGGATCCCTCTGCAGGGCCTCTCTTCCCTGCAGGGACTGAACGAAACCTCCAGTTATCCTTAGCACCATCAGTAAACGTGCTAAGGATGCATTCAGTCCTGCAGCCAGACCATTGATAAAACCATTGAACAAGACTTGCCCTAGAACTGATCTTTGGAGCATACCGCTGGTGACTATCTTCTTGATGTAGCTCCATTCCCTACATTGCTCTGAGCTCTGTTCTTAATCACCCAGCGTAGGGTGAACCAGTTTGTTTCACAGTCAGTCAGTTTCTCCAAGGAAGTCGTGAGGGATGGTATCAAAGGCCTTACTGAAATCCGGACAGATTACATCTCCTGCCTTACCTTCATCCACTGCTTTCCCTTAATCCACCTAGCAGGTGACCTTATCATAGAGGGAGATCAAATTATTAAGGCAGGACTTTCCCTTAATGAACCCATGTTGACAATGGCTTATAACAGCTTTGTTCTTTAATGACCTTTCATTATCCCCCAGGATAATCTCTCCAGAACTTTTCCAGGCATGAGGTTAAACCAACAGGTCTGTAGTGCTTTGAGTCTTCTCTCATGCCCTGTTTGTAATTCTGGATATATCCAGCTCATCTCGGACCTTTGGTAAACTGTTGAGAGCAGTTACCAGCTGCAACATCTGCTAATACCTTCAGTGCTCAGGGATGAATTCTATCAGGCCCCATGGACTCATGACCATTGAGCTGATAAAACTGTTTCCTTGCAATTTGGTGACCACAAGTGGAAAGTCACTTCTCCTCTCATCATGGCCCTCCAACTCAGATGACAGGACAACTCAAGATCACAGAATCATAGAATGGCTTAGGTTGGAAGGGACCTCAAGGACCATCAAGCTCCAACCATTAATATTAAAAACTGAAGCAAAAATCTGCATTTTCCTCATCCTATCTTGTTAGGTGAATTCCTTCACCAAGTATCAGTCCAGTGTTTTCTTTAAACCTCGTCTTGCTGTTGGCATACTTTAAAAAGCCTTTTATGTTTTTGCCTGACTGCATGCTGGCCAGTGTCATCCCATGTTTGAGCTTTGGCTTTTCTTGTTTTCTCCTACAGGTGCAAACTGCAGCTCTCCTAAGAGTTTTCTGTTTGAATTAAATTAGAATTCTGGCATTACTTTCAAGTTTGTGCAAAAGGGAAGAATAGAATCAAGGAATCATAGAATTATCTGAGTTGGAGGGGATCCTTAAAAGCCATCTTGACTAGTCCTGCTCCCCTGCAGTGATCAGGGACACTTACAGCTCAATCAGTTTGCTGTAGACAGTCACAAATAGTCACAAAGAAAGGAGAATGCTTGAAATTGTAAGGAAACATTGTGTTGTGAGCGGTGATGCTTTAAAAATACATACTTTTTTGGGAGAACCAAGACAAAACTTTGTACAACTCCAGGAGGTGAATAAGATGTCTCAGCTTCTTTGTAGTAATCAAGGATGGGGAAGGTGTCCCATTTATATGTATGAGAGAGGAAAACTGTTTTCTGCTGGTGGTACTCACATGCTCTCTCTGTTTCTCTTTCAGTCAGATGGGACCATCCTGGCTATAGCTCTGTTGATTCTCTTCCTGCTGCTGGCACTGGCTCTCCTCTGGTGGTTCTGGCCTCTTTGCTGCACAGTGGTAAGTCCTCCTCACCTTGTTCTGCTTTCAGGCTGCTGACAGCTCCATGGCATTTCTGTATGATGAAATGTTAAGTTTTGCTCTGCAGGGCAGAGATGGTGGGTATAAGCAGCAGGTCGACATTGTCTGGATGGAACAAATGAACTGAACAAAATGTTCTCAGGAGTTAAAAAGCGTAGTTACAGAGCTGATATCTGAAAAAGGCAGACAAAATGTGGAGAAAACAGGAGGTGGGGGAGGTGAGGGGCAGTGGGGGACTTGAGATAAGCTTTTCTCTCACTCATGACCCTGCTATCTGACTGCAAGGACCCGTCATACCTCTGTACATCTCTGCTGATCATGCCCTAGGGCCGCCTTTTCCAATGGGAATTGGGGTGAAGTGTGCAGTTCAATGAGTCTCAGCTTTTGCTTTGCATCTCATTTACACACCAAATACAGAGCAAGAATTACTGTCAGAACTGGGGACTGGTTTTGGTGTCAGCCTGCATATAATGTTTCAAATGCGACTTTTAAGATTATCCAAACTGACTCAAGTTTCTGCATCACTAGCACTGTTCCTGATTGTAAATCTCTTTTCCTGTTTTCTAAGATTACACCATGTTAAAGTTTACGTCCTTGCAAGCTGTGGATCCACAGGCCCTGCATAAGCTGGTCATATCTGAAAGGTCTTTGTGTGAGATGTGTTTCTCTATACAGAACAAGGAGGAAAAACTTGGAGGAAAAAATCTTAATCATCTGGGTCTGTTTCTGGATGGATAAGTGAGGGGTAGAATGCTTCTTTTCATGGTAGTTTGGCACTTCTGTCCTGAGTAGAAAACCAGAAGGGAAAAAAATACTTATCTGAACTTATTGGAACAATAAAAAAACAGTTCTAAAAATGGACAAAGGATTAGCAGAGGGGTAGACTTCTGGGAGTTGTTTGTCTAAACTAAATGGCCTGTTTCCAGCAAAGTCAGGCCAGCTCCTTCGTTGGCACATCTGCATGGGAGTTGATGGAGGTGAACCCATGTGCGTGGTTTACACCAGGATTTAGTGGAGAACTGAGGTGACAGAGAGGAGAGGCTGTAAGTGATGCTACCATTTAGGGTTTTTTTTGAAGATCAATGAGGCTGATAAGAAGGCATGAATGAAAGCAGAAGGGTATGAAGTAGAGGGATGTGGAACTACATGCATTGAGAGGGCAGTGCAAGACTGCTCCAAGGGGACGATATGGGGACAGCAGTCATAGAACTGTGCTGCTTTAAGTGTGTGTCAGACACATACCTTTACTTGCTGGAAAAGTTTTAATTCAGGAACCTGTGTAAGATTTCTTCATCTCTCCAGGATGGCAGAGCAGTATCAGTAGCAAACCAGTGAAGATACCTTACAGTGCATTTCAGTCCTGTAAAATGTGGAGACAAATCCACAAAGGAGCACCCAGCCTGCTTGGTTTAGGGTGGGGAGAAAGAGAGCAGGGCAGCACTGCTTATTTACTAGTTTGGCAGTGGCTCAGCAAGGAATTCAATGTCAGAAGTACAGAGTGAATTAAGGGCAGAGGAACTGGCTTGCACAACAGACAAGAAGCAGGCAAGCAACAACCTCTAATAATCAAACCACAGACCCAGAGACAGTGATGTGAATTCAAGCCTGGGGACATCTCAGAGATAATTGTGTGTCTGTATTGAGGGGAAAAAAAATACAACTTTTTTCTTATGAAGAGTAAATTTGAGTGACAAGCACATTTCTAAACCCTGAAACTCCCCTTGGCATGTGTTTTAGTTAAATAGGGATCATTACTGTCCAGCAGTTCTCCAGGAAAGACACCAAGCCAGCTTCACCCTGGAGTAAAGGCACTGAAGTCAATAGACTTACTCTGGAGATTTATCTGGAACTCAGTATCTCCTTGGCGTGCACCCATAAAGAAATGCTGTTTCCAAGCGTATCCAAGTTTATTGGTCTCAGAAGTATTCTGGGATGAAGTCTGGAATTTACCACTCATTTTACAGTAGATGCAATTGTTGCTTAGTGGATCAAAATAATAATTAGACCTTTGCTGTGCCTGATATAGGCAAAATTTCCCTTGACATCCATGGGGAGATGCAAAAGCAGGGGATCCAGGTGCTAACTTTTGAAGAGATTTCAAGGGAGTTTATTCAACTGCAGGCAACAAAGAAAGATATTCTGCAAAGTTTACATCTCCAGCACTGTACACATTGAAAGAATGATGACAAATACAGAGACATCATGGCAGGATGACCCCACTTTTTCTGAGAAGAGCACATCTGCAAAACAGAAGGTGCCAAATCCTGGCCTTGATGATGCTTTTGGGCTTTTGACTTTCCACAGCTGTTTTTTTCCCCTTTTTCCTGAATGTGGGGTAACCAGGAGAGATTAGAGCACTCATAGGAGAACTGTGTGTGCTACAGGTTCCTTAGGTGCCCAAAGGTGACATTGAGCTCCAGACAGGAGGCCAACACAAGGTATAGTTTTAATATAGACACAATCCATGTAAATGCAAATATTTGTAAGACAAATACATAATAAGCTTCCAAAATAGTTTTAAGGAGGCTTTTGCAGGATATTAATAGATTAGCTTAGAAATTAAGTTGGTTAATTTGTTTTGGATGTATAGCGAAGACATACTACATTAGTTGAAAGTCATATCCATGCTGGGACAGTTCTCGTGCTCCTCCCATTTTGCACCTCTGTAGCAATTGCCTGCTCAGAATATATGCACCCTCTTGCTTATTTTTGTACTCCAGCTTCTTAAACTACAGGGGTGTGGCTGGCATATAAATGAGGTGTCGGTATTCAAGCACTGAACGCCAGTCTTAGCTCTAAAGCTGCTTTCTGGAAAGAACCATGGAAGAACCCAGCAATTTGTTTGGCTCTGTCTGTAGTGCAGCTGACCGAAAGTTTTGGAAACAAAAATCTGGGTGGAGAAAATACAAAATATATATATATATATATATATATATATATATATATATTAAAAACACATGCAAATTATGGCTAAACTGGAGGAAGAGAAGGGGAAGAAATACATATACACTACAGTAACCCTGGAGAGTAATAAGATTACATGATGCACATTGGCGTGATGGAGGTTACTCGTAAGGGCCCACGTATTCTGATTCCCACCCACTCCCATGTGCGCGTGAGGCATCATTTTTCTGCACTTAAAATGATCTTGGGAGAGAAGAATGCAGATTCAGGAATTGTATGAAACATTAGTGAGACAAAGTGAGAGATAAAAACAAAAATGTGCAGGAAAAATGGCTTATAGACCCCACAGCCCCTGTCTTTGGTTCAGACCAAGCCAAGCAATCACCTGGCACAACATGGTAGCTCCACCAAAGCTATTGGAGCATAAACTGGTATCCACTCTTGCTGCCACAAAGGCGTGTCTTCATTTATGGCACAGTCAATACAAAACAATCGGAGCCAAAAAGTTAAAGCCAAATTCTCCAAAGCGTCCTTCAGTTTTGGAGTTTCCAACCCAAGATGTGTTCCAGGGGTTCAGTATTTAGAGTGTGCTAAGAATTGCCTTCTGAAAGCCCTTTGCCATGAGGTGATAGGCGTAGACTTCAGATTACCAAACCGCTTTCCTTGTTAATGCATCTCTTTAAGGCCAGATCCAGAAGCCAATTACATTAATCCTAACTGCCTTCAGCACCTTTTGTTCCAGACCACAACAGAGACTCAGAATAGAGGAGGCACTGTTGTTCTTTGCTCCGGTTTTGCATGGAAAGCAATTAACTGAGTAAAAGTTCTTTCTTCCTTTGTTTTTTCTGTGGGCTCCTCTCACCTCTTCCAAAGAAAGTTCTCCTAAGCCCAGCTGAGGAGAAATAGCTCTTTAGAACCGAGTCTTACTCAACCAATAAAATCACGAGCAATCAATGAATGAGAGTAAGGGCTTCTGCAGATAGCTGGAAGTAGCTGTGATGTTTTCCTTTTCTTTAGTTCAAAAAATGAAATTCATTTATTTGCACTTCCAAAGCAAGTGGGTCAGGCACTTGGAGCAAAACCTACTGATTCTGGCCTTGTTTGTCTGTGTAATTGAAATGGCCTAGGAAAAGGAATGACCTTTGCAGATTCTTTGTTTTCTCATGCATTCCCCAGAGAATTGCATGTCAACCTTATTTGGTTGCAAAGTATATCAGAGCTATTTATATGGAGGGCTGCTTTTTTTTCCTCCTCCATGATGTCATGTCTCCTCTAAGTGCATGGATGATTTTGACATGTCTGTTTTGAATTTTTGCATGTGTCAGCTTTAAGTCTTCTCTGTGGAGCAGTTCTGTCTCTCCTAGTTTTAATGAGTTAAAATTGAGATTACTGAATCTTCTTCCAGGCTAAATAGAAGTCAACTTTAAAAAAAAGTTTGAGATAGCATTCCAATTTGACTTCATTTGCCCCTGAGAAGAAGAATGTACTTTTTTACAGTTGAAAACACAGGGACAGGCTCCTGCTTGTATTAGAAACCTTGAACTATAGACAAAATCTCCAAGGGTTTAATGGATAGTTACAACACAAGGCAGATAGGAAACAAATAGAAAGGAAATGTTCTTTTATCCAATTCATAACTATGCTATGAGACTCTGTCACAGGATTTAGAGGAAGAAAGAGAAAGAAGGATCCGGCAGATGGGTCATTGTTAATGTTATTTTTAAAAAAACCTTGCTTGTTATGATTGCTGAAATACGTATTCCATATTATGAAGAAGAATGATAGCAAATAAGAGCAAAATCTGCTCAGTTAAATGCATTTTTCCTTCCTGAATTTTTAGTTTTGGTTAGAGGCAGAATCCTCTATTTCATTGTATTGTTTTCTCATGTAACCCTCATTTTAAGTTATATTCTGTTCTATCTTAAAGCAGATACATTTCACTGACGTGGAACATATTGCCTCTATTTATCAGATAAAACTCCAGGGACAGTAGCTGAGTATGTGTTTTCTGGACTCTGCAAACTGGTGGAGTTCTCTATGCTCCCAGGATGGAAAACATTCTAGACACATTCCTGGAATATGCAAAATTTGGATTCAACATGTGCTGTCTTTGCTTATGCCTGAATGGCTACAAAAATTTTCATGGCAACAGCAAATACATCCTCTCCATGCTTTTGAGTTTCCAGTAGGCTGGCTAATAGGATTCTTCTGCTTTCATACTGGGTTGTTCAGCAACATCTGCTCTGTGACATCAGGGTAGGTCAACTATGAGAGACCTGTGTCAGTCATCTACATACTGAGATTTGATAGAAAAGCACATAATTGCTTTACTGTCATGACTTTTCATGGCTAAGTGTGCAGAAGTGCTGACAGCTATTCTTGAAGTTCTTTCCTTTGCTGAGGAAAGCCAGTGGTCAACTGTCCATCCCTCAGGCCTTGACTTCTTACCAACCGAAGACCATACTGTAAGGTTTTGATAGCATGGCAGTGATGTAGAAACCCTCAGGTATTTGTAATCTAGCAAGCAAATATGGTTGCTTAACCACATTTTCCTTCTTGCAAAGACAGGGACAGGGGATACAGTTGTAACAGCAAGCCCAGAAATGGCTTGGGGTTATCAAAACAGTTGCAGCACACATGAACAAACACTTCAACTTTGCCAAGTTAAATAGCCAAAGCATTTTGCTTGGCCAAGCGTGCTCCCAGCTGATTGTATTCAGCAGGTCCATGTGTATCATCTGGCAAGGCAGAGGGAAGGCGAGAGGTGCAGCACAGAACAAGATGTGGTGGACTTGAGCCTTCTGTGCCAGCATGGGCTCTATCCTCTCTGCGTTCCCTGTAGCAGTGTTTTCTTTCTTGTACTTGAGTAGTCATTTCTTTTTGTGCAGCTGTAAGGCACTGCCTTTCAGTTCTGGGATCCTGTTATTCCCATTTGGTGTTTGCTTTGCTGATGTGTCAGGTGGCAGAGAGCTCCCATTTGCTTCGCTGCCTCCACTACTGCACAATGATGGTCCCGTGCACAACCCAGGAGAAAGAAAAGATTTGTGCTGTTTGTAGAACCGTAGAATGTTTTGGGCTGGGAGGGACCTTAAACGTCATCCAGTTCCAATGCCTTGAATGGGCTAGTTGCCAGCCACCACAACAGGCTGCACAAAGCCCATCCAACCTGGTCTTGGGCACTTCTCTGGACAACCTGTTCCAGTGTCTCACCACTCTCTGAGTAAAGAATTTCCATCTAATATAAATCTCTCCTTCATTTAGCTTAAAACCTTTGCCTCTTGAGCTACCCCTATCTGCCTGTGTAAAACACTGGTTTTCCATTGAGAGGTAAACTCCTGCAACCCTTTCCAGATCTGGATGGTGAGATAAGAAATACATTTTGTATATGATAAATTTCTAAATTTCATACAGGCTCAAAGGCAGAGAAGACTAAATTCTCCCTATCTCTGCACTTCTCCAAACTAACCAATCTATGCAGCTAACTGATGGTTATTCAGTTGTTCTTAGAAGCGCTCAGTGCTTAATAATGCAAGGGATCACTCTTTTTTTCACTTGTTCTGTGGCAGAAAAGAAAATGAATGTTCATATAAATCAGTTAATGCCAGAGTGTGTATGTTGTGAGAAAGAATACAGATACATGAAAAACACAGCTATCCCATCATATCCAAGTCTGTAATCTCAAGATTTTCCAGTGATATTGGCTGAGAAGTTGTGTGTGAATGCTTAGCTGGGCCAAGTATCCTCATTTTTCATGCCAGTGCAAATCAGAGAAACTCCACTGAAACCCACAATGTTCCACTAGAATAACATTAGAGAAGGTAGTAAGACTAGTTCCAGTAGATATGTTTTGGATGAGTGAGATATCTGAAATTTTTCAGCGTTTTGTTTGGATTAAGGCTTTTGGTTCGAAGATAGGCCTGCTGAAGAGTGACCATTATAGTGACAAGTAGCCAAAATATCTGAAAATGTGACTAGAAAAGCCTTGTGTTTATTTGGTGCTTTGTACACAAGAGTCACTAATTGTGTCATGAGATGTACAAGAGACTATGTTGTTGCCAACTTCTTAGGGACATCACATTTGTCCCTAACATGGTCAGTGCATTTGTAGCCAGGACTTGACCCATGGTTGTGCTGCATCAGAGCAGGACAGGGGGTGCACCTACATCACTCCTGAAATGTCATCCTATGCTTCCATGTGGGCTTTGTGCCTTTGCACATAGGCAAAGGTTCAGTGTTGGCACCTAAGCACGCAGGCTGTTTAGCAGAGATTCCTCGAGGACCCTGAAGGCCAACAAAGAAGGACCTGCTGCCCAGGAATGGGATATGCAGAGTGTGATGTGTAAAAAAGGACTGATCCAACCCCAGTCTCCTCCCAAGCCAAAGGCACATGCTCCTCATTAACGGCCGTATTGCATGACTTGGGGTTTGCAGAAGAAGATAAAAACAGTGAGCTCATCAGAGAAGTTAAAACAACAGTGAGGGAAATTTTTGTAAATATTTGTGTCTTTGGGGCCTTTAATATGATTGTCATTTTCTCTTCCTGCATTTAAATAGCCAAGCTGTTATTGTTTTGGACTGTGATTTTGTTTTTGAAGGGCAATCTCTCAGCCTGTACATCTGCACCCCACCTTTAGACAGCCCCTACACTCAATATACAGTCCTGACAGGAGCTCAGCACCGCAGAAGCATCCAACTCATTACCTTGTGCATAAAGAAGGAGCTGCTTCATCCAAATGGACTTAAAACTACAGGAGAAATTCCGTCCCAGGGGCAGCTGCATTGACACCAGTGACTAGATTCAGTGTTGCCTGCAATGGCTCTGCACTGGGGTCTGTTGCGTGTAAAGGAGAGAGATTTGACGTGTCTGTATGCAACTGCTTTCCCTTTGGAAGATTCTCTGTTGCTCTTGGAGTGGAGGGCTGTGATGATAGCCAACTGCCTGCTGAGCTTGAGATGCAAATTTTTTGCATGAAATAATAACCTCACGCCCACGTAAACTTAAGCTGTTTCTATGGAGAATATCCTGGACTGGTCTAAAACCTCACCCTGATTGCTTTTTTAGTTAGAAATCCTTGGAGAACTTTCAAGTGTATGTGCGTATATACATGCACATATATACGTAAGTACATATATATGCAGATTTTAAAGAAAACCGTATGAGAGTGAGATATAGTGCTTGGCAATGTGAAAAGCATTCTTTAGGAGAGCAATGAGTGGCACAACTTTCTGGAATGGTGTATTGCTCTGAGAGACAGCAATTACTCCTCTGCAGTGTCTCTGGGGCATTTCGTTTACCTTGGTTTCTTTTCCAGTCTTTGTCTGTGCGGATGCTAATTAATTTGAGGCAGGACATGCATGTGTGTGCAGTGGCCAGTAGGAGGACATGCTGAATTTAACATGTTTGTGCAGGTAGAACGATGATTGTTACCAGTGTGCCAGCATTATGGCTCCTATTGGGATATCAAGGAGCATCCAGGGTGTATTACTTCGGATCTGTGTCACTTCACATGGAAAAGGATCACATAATGAGCAACATTTGCATCATGCTGATTTACCGCTTTTTTTTTCTCATTTATTCTTCCAGATCATCAAAGAGCCTCCTCCACCTCCTGCAGAAGACAGTGAGGTAAGTAACACCAACAAGCCAATTTTCTTGATGTTTAGGACAAGATTTTGTTCAGCTTCCTTAGAAGAGGTTATGATTCTGCTGCATGGTAGAGTACGGACCTGCATTGAGCACAGCAAAATAGTTGAGGGCAGCTGGAGCCAAGGCTGTTGAAGGAACCTCTATCTTGTTAGCACTTGTTTCCTTCAAAACAGGCCTGAAGTAAAACTCCAAATCAAAACATGTGTGGACCCAAGTGAGGTTTACATTTGGGTCCAATGCTGAAGGTATTTGTGAAGGCACACATCTCTCAGAATAACATCACTCCATGCATCTATATACAAACATCTGGCTTATTTTCCAAGTGGCCGTTTCTGTTTAGGCTGTATGGATATCCACCAGTTTCACCAGCTTTGATCCTTGGAATGAAAAGGAAAATACTTGTCTAAAATTGCACATGCTCTGTTCAGCATCACACATGCCTCCAAGCCGAGGGACTCAATTGCTGAAGTTAATTAAAATACATCATTCTGGAATGCTGGTTCTCTGGCCAACGACTGGAAGGGGAAATTACATCTCTGTGCTAAGTAAGAAGGCATACTTCATGTATATGGAAGCCCTTCTAAAACTAGTAAGTGTTGCAAAAGCTAACCAGTTGCTGCAAAATTGAGCCAGTTGCAGCAGACCTCAGGTTCATTCTGGTTAAACTGTAAGGATATCTCTGGACGTGTTGTATTTTCTCTTTGATTCTGAGAGGAAGAGTCCATGCAGCTCTTAGGATGGAACAGGCCTCAGTTCATCAGTCTGTTTCAGAGCTTACCTCTAACAATGTGTTTGCCAGTGGCATCTCTGCAGAGAAACAGCAAAATTGCATTAATTTGCTACCTGTAGCTTACCTGCTTCCCTCTTAATGCACTCTATACAGTATTCTAGATGTTGTTCCTACTGTTTCTGTTTTGGGACCCTGGGATGAGGGGATTTAGCTACAACAATCTGCTGACATAGAGACTAATCTGATAGCAGATAGAAGATTCCACGTGTACTTTCCACCATATCATATCCCCTAAACTCAGTACTCAGTTATTCTAAAACTACCTTGTACAATCAGCAGCCAGAGGAAAACACACTATTATACTGTTTCAGAAACTGGAAAGCATCAGAGCAGTGCTCAGAGATCAGTAACACTTGGAGCTGTGACTTCTGTGTTACATGTTTTCCCCTACAGAAGCCTCCCACTGGTGGAAAAACAATAGGAGCTCTAAAAAGATGCAGTTTGTTGGTTTCATTTACTCTTGCAGAGCTGGATCCAGAGAGTGGGATTGACAGTAATATGATTATTTCAGAGAGGAGTGAATACTCCAAATTTTTTACTTTGCTAAAAGCGAGTAGAAGATGGAGTTGTTTTTCTTACAATTTGTGAATAGCTTTCTCCCTTGTAGAAATCGTAGTAACTACTCATCTCCAGAATGAAAAAGTGCTAATCCCTTAAGCAGCAGCATTGCAGTTACAGTATGATTCTTTTATTCTAAAAGCCTTGGCAAAAATAAGACTTCTTGCATCAGCAAATTTGGGAGCTGAGGCCCATATATATGTCTTTGCGCTGCAAGGAGAATGAATTATACCATAACAATGAGGGGAAAGCAGCATTGCTGTCAGAAACCCACCAAAGGTTTTATTGAACTCTGCTTTGAAGGCATTTTGAGACATGTTGGAGCCACGCTCACTGTTGGTGAGGGAAATCATTACTGACTAGAAACTTTTAGTTAACAATTAATTAACAATTAATTCATTTTGAAATCGCAAATGTTGTCAGCTCGCCGCTGTGTTCTTCAGACAATGCAGGATGCTGGAGGAGGCTGACCCCAGATGAAGGACTGGTTTTAGAGCCAGGAAGGATTGAGTTAATACTAATCGGAAGAGGTGAATGCCTCGAGGAGTCAGTGAGCACCTTGCTGGCCTGCGATTGACTCATTGATAGTGGATCAAAACTGCATTCTTCTATTCCCTGTGAATAGGAAGGCTCTTTCTATCCATGCTGGAGGAAGGCACAGCTGCTTTTGTTCAAGCGCCCATCACTTTCAGGCTGGGCTTATTGGAACAACTTACTGGCTTAGATGAGAAATGTACCAAGAAACTGAAGTTGGTTCTCATTATTGCAACCCATCTTCTACAGAGAGAACAAAGAGGCATTTTGCAGGGCTTTCCATCTTCCAGCAATTTCCTTTTCACTACCTGACCTTCGCCAGGGCTCTGCTACTGGGCTATTCCATGGGACAAGTTCTGATTGTGTCATAAGGTGCACTCCCCACTGTCCCCAGGAGGCACATGCTCTTCTCATTGCTTTCCTGCCCTTCTAAACACCAGGCAGTGTCAACATAGAATCACAGAATCACCAGCGTTGGAAAAGATGTTTAAGATCACCCAATCCAACCCACTAAACCATGTCCTGTGTGTCCCATTACATCTAAACATGTGCTGTTCTTATCTTTATTTACTGTTGTGACTGTGCTTTTTCCCACAAAATGGATTCAGGGACACAAAGTGCCCTGAAACCTGGTAAAATCAGGCAGGACACCGACCAGATGACCTGAGTACACCCTCTCCTCATCAGTAAAAGCCAGTTTTTCCATGCTGCTCAAGCCCAGGCTCCACAGTCACTCCTACCATGGTGCCAGGATCAAGCCACCAACCACCAATTGGATAATCGTTTTGCCTGTTGTCACCCTCCCCACATACACCAAAACACACATACACAAGAAAGTCCTGGAGGGAAAGCACCATTCAGCAGCACAGTCATGAGATACTGAAGATAATTATTGCTGTCATGGAAAGCCTGCATGAAATGGAGGATTTTAACTCACTGCCTGGCAGCTACTGTGAAGTCAGCAGATGAAACCTTCTGTTCATCTTGATCTCTTTGTGAACTAATTTCTTTCACCACAGCTGAACAGTCACAAAGCCAATGAATGACTTACACGGATGGAGCTGCTTGCACCCTCACTGATTGTTGTTTATTAATCCTTTCCAAACCACTCTTTCTTCCTGAAAAGCCTTGCTGGGGAGATAGCAAAATCAGCTCAGAGAAGTTCAGATGTAATTTCTTGTGGACACCAAGGCAGGAAATGTATTCTGTTATTCCTGAAATAAAGCCAGGTCTCAGCAGTATGCCAGCTCTTTTCCTTCCCCTTTCTTCCCCTTTTACAATGTGTTGTGGATATTTGGGAGGAGGAGAAAAGGAACCTTTTGAGATACAGGCATTTAAAAGAAAAAGAGCTAGGATGTTATTGGAAACAAATGAGGTGTAGGCGGTACTTCTTGAAGGTGTGGTCTTTTATAACCAAATTTAATGTGAAATATGTAGGCTGATCCAGCACAACGTACTCGACTAGTGTAGAGGCAATGAACTGTGGGATGTATTCCCCATGCACTGCAAGGTGGGGACATAAATCTGGGGACTTAGGGTATTTTGTTCTGTAGGACAATTTCCTCTGTGACTTCAGGTATGTTATTTCACTTTTCATCTTGCTCAGCATCTGAGCCATAGAGTGGGAATCGTTCAGTGTCTCTTCTCCTCTATCAATATAGGGGTTCTCTTTTAGTTATGTCCCAAATACACTTTACCGTCTGAGGATATATTCTTCAAGCAGGATCTTTACCATGGATAAACCAGGAATTCCGTGATCAGTAAGACCATTAAATGCTGGTTTTCTAAGCAGTTTTGTCTCAAGGATAGTCAAATAGGTGGATTTTCTGGTGTCTAACAAGAGCTGAGCTCTCTCTTCAGCCTGCTCCTTAGTAGAGCACCAGTAGAGCATCTTTTCTTTGGTGTTCTTATGATTTTTTAGTTCTTTATGACAATGCTCTGCAGGCTTGGCTGGAAGAGGTGAAGATACGAGAAACACCAAGGGCATGTTCTTGCAGAATGACTCAGGGATGGTTAAGACTGGGCAGGGTTTATCCGATTGTGATGCCTGGTCCATGAAAGCAAAAATTAAATGTTTCTTAAGAACCAAGAAAATTGTCCTCCAAATCTAACAATGCCTTTGCATCTAGGAGGTGGCCGTGCAATTTGGAAGTGGGCCTGGTGTTGGGAGCAGGGGTTGGAGTGTAGGAAGCTGCAATCCGGGAGGACGACGAATTTTACATCCAGGTTTCCTCTGCTGTAAAATTAGATGATAACAACAATTACTCAGAGGTTTGACTGCCCCATGTCATACAGTGCTTTCTGCAGGCAGAGCTCTATAAATGCTAAATTCTGACAACATCCAGGCTTTGCAGAGACAACTGTGAAAATAATTATAAGGGTGGGGAGAGGAATAATTTGTCCAACCTTTTATATCTGGCCAATTTTAGTTTGAATTTTTATCCTGAGTGGTTCCATGTCCCTAGTGGAGCCTGAATTATCCTTCTGTTACCCACAGATGAGGTACCCTCGGGTCAGGGTCAAAGCATACAGAGCCCAGCATGGCCTCTGAGATAAACACATCTTTGTTTTCTGAAATCCAGCAGTGATGAACCTGGATCTCTGACAGTGAAATGTAGCTCTGTCCTTATTATTTTGTAAAAGAAACTCTAGCTCCATCTAAAGCAGATTAGAGGGATGGAAAGATGCCAAGTTCTGCACAGTCACTTTCCAGCATCCTTAAATGCACTTGGATTTTCCAGGGCTGCCTTTTGTGTTGCTGTTGGGTCAGAGCTGAAGTTCCTTACGCAGTTCTTCCTCAGGAAAAAACCCCACTGTAGCTAATATTGGCCAAACTGAGCCAGGATGTGATAATTCATCCACGTGGTATTGGCTCAGATCTTGTGAATGGGGCACTGAGCTGGGATGCTGGTGTGGGGACTGTGTTCCTCCCCATTCTTCTGCTGGCTCCCCACTTTGACCCCCAGCTTTCCCGTTGCTTCACTTAAGCAATTCACGTGTGTTATGAGCACATTTGTCAAGTGTGTAGGAAATCGTTGGGTTGTTGGATTTTTTTTCTTTCTGCTCATATTGCAAAACCTCCCATGCCCTTCAAAACATGTAAACAGGCTCGTCCAGAAGAAAGCTTGTGACTTTTGTTTTTCAGATGTTTGCTGTAGTCCTTTTTTGCGCGTGTGGTGTTTCTGTTGTCCTGGCAGAAGCCCTCCTATCTTAGATCGAAGCGACTTGCAGGGCTTTCAAGGGCTTGTGGGGAAGATTTCCTAAACCTTGGTATTTCCTGTTGTGAGAAGTCCAGTCTGTGCTCAGCTGAAGAGAGAGAAAGAGAGAATTGCTGAAGGAAAATATTTAGATGGCTTTGGTTTCTTTTCTTTTCTTTTTTTTTTTAAATTAAAAAAAGTCCTCGTGGAAAACTTCATGCAGAGATATTAAGTTCTTAGGTTGCAGCAAAGAGCCTCAGCTACTCCAACGAGAGAGAGGAGATCAGCTTCGAAGGAGAGAAGCTCTGTATTTATGATTCATTTGCCTACTCTCCCTTGAGATCAGGACAAATTTTGCAGTCCGATTGATGGTTTTGGTTTGTTTTAAATAATAAAAAAAACACTTTTGTTTGGCATGAAAAGCATAGTTTGTCTCGGATTTTTATCCCTCCTCCCCAGTTTTTCAGTTTTCCAACCGGAGAGTTTGAATTCAAAGTATTTTTGGCTTTCCCAGTTTTGGAAAGCTCCAAAGTTCTGGAGTTTTGCCAAATCCCTGTGAAGAATTAAAGAAAGAAAGGGAAAAAAAAGAGAGAGAGAGACCATTTTTCATTTCTCTCCGCATTTTTCACAGGAAATACTAAACGTTTTTGATGGACTCTGCTTTTCTGTTTTGCCAGTTCACGGACTGCGTTGTAGAAGTTAAAGGGAAAGGCACTGCATGGGTCATAGCGTATGTGCAGTTCTTACGGTGTACCCATATTATGTAGAATACACCAATAGAAATTAAAAAGAATGAAAGGTCTCTTCAAAACAAACAAATAATCAAAAACACACGTTCTTGCTGGAGCTTGATTGTATCCTTTGGGTGGTGGTGGTGTTTATATTATGAAACATTTTCTTTTCACGAGTGCACATCCTCTTGAAAGCAACCAGCAACAGACCACTACCTTTACAGCACCAGTTCTTACAGGCTGAAAGGGCCATACAACCTGTAACTATTTACCCCTTACCAACTCAGTTCCTGCTTTCTAACAGTGCAACCCTTTCCTTCTGTTTTGTAGGAGGAAGATGACGATGGTCTTCCAAAGAAGAAATGGCCAACAGTGGATGCTTCTTATTATGGCGGTCGAGGAGTTGGCGGCATCAAGAGAATGGAGGTAAGTAGACACCAGCTTATATATCAGAAAATCTCAGTTGTGAACTCAGTTGTGAAACACTCAGGCAGTTTAACCAAAAAGCTTGGGAGGCAGGTACAAACTTCACACTTCTGTGCATTGGAACCAAATTCTTTTCTATATTTGAGAGCCAAATAGATGGTCTTAAGTCTTAGGACAGTCTTTTCCTCTACTGCAGTACAGCGTTTGTGCCTGCGATACAGTGGCAACATTCCCATGCAAATTGCAATGAAATACTCTTACAGCTTTTCTCAAGCACTTCTCCACCCTCATTTTTCTGCTGCTGTCATTTCAGGTGCGCTGGGGAGAAAAGGGCTCCACAGAGGAAGGCGCTAAATTAGAGAAAGCCAAGAATGCCAGGGTCAAGATGCCAGAACAAGAATATGAGTTCCCAGAACCCAGGAACCTTGCAAACAACATGCGCAGACCTTCCTCTCCTCGGAAGTGGTACTCTCCAATCAAGGTAAGTTCAGTCCAGCAATGCACCACATAAAGCATTTCCAGATCTGTGTTAAGCAATCTATTTTCACCTCCATGGGTAAAGATGGAGAACTTTAAACTGTGATCTCAAGGTGCTGGTAGAGGAGCTGTGCAGAAGGAAATCCCTCTGAACAAGTGACCAGGGGCAAGTGCTATAGAAAGGAGCCATATGTGCAATGGCAATTTCCAATGAGGTTAAACAGATTTCAGGGTTGCATTGCTTTCTTAGACCAGAATAAGCAGCTGATCAGTTACGGTGGTCTAGCTTCTGTGAAGTTGTTACAGATTCCACTGTGCTTGCAAAGTTAGTTCCTTTAGTCGATATTGCTTATTCTCTGAGAGGTAGGGAGCAAATTGCATTTTCTTTCCTTAGAAAGAGGGAAGAAATATGAATGGAATTGATCCTAAATGTCACCAGAGATGTTCTGAGAAGATCAAGGATTGCAGCACAGCACATGGATGTCTGCCAGCAGACGTGGGTCACAGGGCCAGCTTCATGCAGAAGGGATGCCCTGCAAGAAGATTTTGGCTGTATTAGGATGCCTCAGAAGTGGAAAATCAAATTCATGCTGATATCAGGTCAGAAGCAATGCAAAGCTGCTCAGCAGTCACCCACAGGAACTGGGGAGGGCTGTCCTGTGCCATCTGAACCAAGCAAGGAACTGGATGCTTCACTGAAGCAAAACCCTTCAAGGCACATGTGAATGTTCTTCCAGGATTAAGAGAAACAAACCACATGCAACAGATATCAGTAGCATCATCCACTGATGATGTGTGAAAACACTCCAGAGTCAGAAAGCTAATCTCTTGCAGTCAGGACATGTTGAGATGTTTCTAGCAAAGGATTCTCTTTGTTACTACATTTTTCAGGGTTAATCCTTTCGGGAAATGCTGAGACCCTTCTCCTATCTTTTCAGTTCATGGCTATTTGTAGCAGCACTGCAGTAAACAGAAAAGACTAGAAATGCATAGTTCATATCTGAGTGCAAACCCTGCACTGCTGGAATCTGGATCTCGTTTTGAAGAGTGGTCATTCTGGTTAAAATATCTCCACGGGCAATTTTGTTAAACCCTCTGATGTTGAACACAACTTAAGCTTTATTCTAAGTAAGGAAGTGCCCCACTGCTGAAATTTTTAGTCCCCTGTTTTCTCCCTGTCTGGTAGCAGCCAGCCGGTCAGAGATACTCTATCTGCTACGTTGTTACGACACAAATATATTTCACTACAGTACACCCAGGTTTCCCTGCGTTGTATCTTGTTATTGACCAGTGGAGCAGTGCCCAGAGGAATCGGGCAAGTAACAGGTTTTGGCTTTCCTCAGTCATTGATCTTACTGCTGGTTCAAATCCAGCAATTGAAATGGCAAAGATGCTCAAGGGAGTACAAGTGGTTTCCGGAGGATACAGAAACGTGAGCCTCTGTGAAAATTTGGTCCAATGCCTTCTCTCTTTTCCCTCTTAAAGATTATCATCTAATAAACATAGCCTACCAACAAGTCATTTGCAATTGTGCTATAATGACTTCAACATGTGTTCATGAAAGTTATTCCTTCCCTTGGTGGGACAGGTTACAGACTCCACTGTTCTCAGTTCAGAGTCCGCAATTCAGTAAGCACCATCCCATATAGCTGCTCCTTTGTTTCTAAATTCATTGCATTGTCATTTACATTAGTGCAAAGTGTTTGTAAGTTACACCAGTCCCATCTGGGAGATTTTCACTCCTACTACGTGCTCTTGGAAATGAGCTCATCGAGCTGAAAGAAGCAGCTCAGTTGCTTTTGTGTGCTGCAGCCCAGATTCAGGCACACAACACAATACTCTAACCACCTAGGAACTGACAGAAGCACTGATTTTAGCACAAAGAGCCTGAATACATGCTCGGGCAGTTGGAATCCATGTGGGCACCACTACCTGAGATTATTAGCTGTGAGAGCTAGGTCTTTGCCATCAGAGATAATGCTGAGTTTCTCCCCTCTGTCTTCACCAATTCATGATGTTGGATGACAGTCTCAGGAGATTTTCAGTTTGTTTTTAGAAATTATTCTGCATGGCAGAAAATCAGTTTTGAACTCAGGAATTTGTTGCAGATTTATCCCAGCTGGGAGTTCAAAAGAAGCTTGAAGAAAAGATTCAATGTATTTAAGTTCAAGTTCCGTTCTGATTCTGGCTGGGAACATCTTTTGCTTCGTAACAGCAAGAATTCAATTATTAGGGGACTAAGTGTTAGAAGTATCTCATGGCTGATATATATTTCTGTTTCCTTTGGAAAAGTCTCTCTTTTCTACCATTCAAAGTCTACAGTATAAGGACAGGTCCAATCCAAAGCCCCATATCCAAATACTTCCTAACTTTGGCATGTTCCACAACTGGATAGTATTTAGCAGCCTGAATATGTGGATGAGGTGGCCTAATTATTGATTACCACCACACCCCTTATTGAGCTGTACCTAACTGGATTTCTGTATCCAACACTTTCCCCATGTACAATCACAAGGACTCAAAAAAAGCAGAGGGGATCATTCCTATGAAGTAGAGGTCCTGCGATTACTTTCCTTGTGCAGTAAGGAACTAGCAAAATTGGCATAGCTCATCGGCACTCTTGACGGAAGCTCTTGTCCAGAACACATGAGCATATGAAGGTGAATTTATGTTGTGCTGTGCAGGGAAGTTATCATGGAGTTGTAAGAGGCAGAGGAGGGCGAGGAGGGACAGCCTATTAGGTCATTGGGTTTGCACTCAGCCAAAGCAGCATTGCTAGCTTGAGTCTGTCCTTCACTGCTTTTTCCAGTCTGGTTTTTAAAATAACATAGAGGCTTCCACTGCTTTTCAGGGGGAATATTTCCCAGTCTACTAAACCTCACCTGTAGGAAATGGCTCCTGATACTCAAATTTTCCCTCATCCCCAAGCTCCAAATGCACTCAGCTCCTTTGATTAGAGACATTAAGTTTCCACCCACCCCACTGGGCTGTTTCAAACACCTCTTTGGAAGGTGGCAATCTACTTATAAAGGAAGTGGGTAAGGAATTAAATCTCAGAAGCAGTGAACCAAGGTGGCTTAAATCTGACAAAGAGCCAGGAAATTCACATTTTAGGGCCAGCAGGCCTCCTTTTCTCCGTGCAACACAAGCATCAGCCTTACTTGGAGTTCTCTACCTTTTGCCAGTTTGTCTGATGGACTTTTTCTTCCCCTTAAATCCCCTCTCCAGAGTGGTGTCTGTATGGTAGGTAGACAGCTGTTAGCTGAGAGTGAATAGATTGCTGTAGAAATGCTCCAGAGCTTTGTTTGCTGCCAAATTGCAGCTACTGACACTTAACAGATTGTTATTATTATTGTTGTTGTTATTCTTATTTGCTGCTGTTACTTCTTAGCACAATGCCAACTGGCTTACCCCACTTTTAAAATATCACTTCAACAATTTGAAAGTCAGTGTAAATAACCCAAGGAGCATCACAAATCTAGAAACTTCTCAAGAGTCTTGCCAAATCCTCAGTTCATCTGACAGAGGGAGGAGCAGCAGAAAACGTAGAGGCAAGTGAAGGATCATAAAGGATTATGAGGATAATGCCTTTTGGTTCAAGACACGCTCCCTGCTGCAGCCAGCCACGGGTCTATGCTTTGGTTTGGTTAAGAGCTTTTGTCTCACCTCTGTTTCTGCCTCTGCTTGTATCTGCATCAATATCTTCTCCTCAGAGCTTTTATCGCACTTAGTTATCATAGAATCCTTTGAGTTGGGAAGAACTCTTAAAGGTCCCGGAGTCCAACTCCCCTGCAATGAGCAGTAACTTCTACAGCTCAGTCACACTGCTCAGGTCTTGGTCCAGCCTGACCTTGAGTGTCTCCAAAGATGGGCCATCCACCTCATCGCTGTGGTTGAGTCAAAAAGGCCAATAGCAGTCTCTAAACAACTGTAAATTTCCACTTTCTGGACTTCATATCTAGGAGGACGCAGTTTTATTTGCCTCCAGCCCATTTTTTTGCCTCCAAGCTACCTCGCACTTCAGTTGCAAAAGAGTTTCCAACCTAAGAGAGGCCCAGCTCATCTACTGGAGAGCACAGAAGTGCTTCTGTTTCCAAATGAATGCATTGCCATTTTCATTTCTTTAAGCAATATCACCCTTTCCATGATCCATTCCCTTTCTTCTGCCCAGATGTGTCAGGCAGACCATGAAGCTCCATTCAAATTCCCAAAGATGGGTCTTGTTTTTTTTTTCCCCAAGAAATCTCAGTAGAATGTTGGAAGTTAGGACTGTGGTAAAGACTTTTTTATTCCATGTAAAGTTGTAATTTTCACTCTGGTTTCTCACAGGAAAAAGGTATGAAAAAATGTACTTATTTCTTCAGTTGTCAGAAGGGATGGGAGACCAAGAGCTTCCATGAGCTGTGATGTAGGGGAAAAGATGGACTCAAAAGGAGAGCTTTCAGAGTGGAAGGATGGGTTTGGATTGATTCACAGACAGGGATGGTTTCCCTCTGGTGTAAGAGAGGCTGTCCAAATGCAGGAATCTGACAGAAGAGGTTCTTGCTTCTTCCTTTGAGAATTAGACTTTCCTGGCTCTCACCTTAGGAAGTCTTTTTTCCCAGTATCCTATGGAAAACAACATCTATGCAGTCATTCTATGTGTCTGTCTGTCTCCAACCATGTGTCCCTCCAACTCCCAAAAAAGCTTTGAAACGTTGGCTTAATACATTCATTGAGGAATGTAGGTGTCAGAAAGGATTATGGTCCTAATGGTTTCTTTAAAAGGAAAGAGAAGACTCCATATATGCCTTTCGAGAAAGGAAGAGTGTGCATTGAGTGCATTGTGCATTAATTCTTTAATTAGGCCTATCAGAGACTGTGATGTCTCTGTAATGGATATGTCAATAAGTAAAGTGTGTTGTTAACCCTCCAGAGAAATTTTTACAAATGTTTGGGTAGCATTCACTTAACAACCTGTGGGCCAAATGACATTAATTTGAAGATTTTGGTAAACTCCTCTGCAGTATGTAACATATCCGTAGTGTTCCATTGAGCCAGCCAACATGCTGCACATACAGAAATTCTTCTACAGACCTCCTGGAAGGTGAATCCATTTTGCAAGTGAAATCCCAACATAATACTGAATTTCAGTTGGAATCACATGCTTTGTGTGGCAGAGCAATACTGCAGGGAGGAAAGGCAGGGTATGGCCCCACATCTCAACCAACATTTCTGTCACTGAGAGATTTCAGCACACTGAGTTGTCTGGGTTTGTGCCTGCTCACATGCATCCGAGATCACACAGCAAGGTGAGCAGTTTGTCAAAACCAAGGCAGTGTGCACTGGGTGACTGACAGTGAGCTCATAGGAATACAGTATTCTGAAAGACGTGTCATTGCCTGGAGAAGATGCCAGTGCCAACTGGTGTGTGGGTGTGAGACCTGGTAAGGCAATCCTCTCCATGCAGAGATAGTTAATAAAATAGAATACTATCATAGAATCATTGAGGTTGGAAGGGCCACTAAGATCATCAAGTCCAGTCATCAGCCTATCCCCCCATGCCCACTAAACCATGTCCTTCAGTGCCACATCTACCCTGGTTCTTCAGACACATTCCACTGCACATTGTTTTGACACATAAATCCAGAGGAGGAGGAGGCAGAGTGGTGAGGAAATGTGGCATACAAATTCAACAGATTTCTGCATTCATTTAGCATTTTGCTAGAACCATGCCAGAAATGGAGTAGGTACGAGATCCTCTCAACCCTGGAGATATCTAAGTCACCAATTCTGGAGATGCTCAATAGCATACATGAAGAATAGGCACGGGCACTGCTGGCTGCCAGGCACATCTTCCTATTGCTCATCTGAAGGCCTTCTCCTTTGCACTTGCAGCAGGTTCAGAGGGAATTTCTGTAAGGGAAAACATTGCTCTTCAGTACCTTGTACAGGCACAGCAAATGGTTAAGTGCAAAATGTAAGTTTGTACAGCTCACTTGCTATTGTACTGAAGGTAGCATGCTGCATTTTTTTCCTTTCTTTCTTTGTGATTGCAGGGGAAGTTGGATGCTCTCTGGGTCTTGCTGCGGAAGGGTTACGATCGTGTATCAGTGATGCGCCCACAACCAGGAGACAAGGTACTGTGCCTCCAGACATTTCTTGCAGCTAGGGAAAAACAAAACTCCGCTGAAGCTTCAGACTGCCTTTACAAATAGGACAGAATGGTTGTGATTACCTTCCTCTGATAAGGCAGATACTTGTGACAGCTCAGAAGGAAAAGCAAAAGGAAAAGCATTGCTTGGGTGCTGGTTTAGGCTCCCAGACTTTCTCCTTTGTAGGCACAGAAGGTGATTTTACTGGAGCTGAGCATTATCAAGGTTGGCTTTATGATGTATTTAGATGCTTCTGTGCAAGAGACTGTATAATTGCTATTAGCTGAGGTCCTTCAACTACCACTGTGCCCTGGGAGACAAATTATTCAAAAAGAAAAGCAAAAGGTGCAAAAATTTACTGTAAAATTTACACCATGTGAAATAAGAAGACTCTAACCCCTATATGATCCTACAGAATTTCATTCTGTTCTTCTCTGGGCCACTGTTCTTCTGAGAGAAAGTCTGTGTCCCAGCCTGATGATATATAGGCTGCATAATTCACGAAATCATGAAGGTCAGAAAACACCTGTATGATCTTCTAGTCCAACATCAGCCCATCACCACCATGCCTGCTAACCCATGTGCCTGAGTACCTTATGGCAATCAGCTTCTGCCAGGACAGAAAGCAGAAAAGCATCAAATATTATGTCACATATCATGCCACTGTTCTGATGTGGTTGGAAATGCAGTGCTGAATTGATGGGGACAGCAGCATAGAAACATCTGCCAGTATTGTCTGCAGATGTCAGTGCCTTGAATGCAGATAGTCGAGAGTCTGTGTGAATGGTTTGCTTTCCTTGCAAGAAACAGACATAAAGGAAAAGGAGCAATCCTCCAGAAAATCTTTTCACAAACCTGTGTCTGCAGAACAATGAATCTGCTGCCCTTCATGGAAGTGATAGGAAATTTCTACCTGTGCAAATGCTGAGAATGCCTCTGGTTTACTAAGAAGCATGGCACCTCCTTGGCCCAACATGCAGCCAAGTGGCTGCATCCAACAGGTTTGGCTGTTCTTCATGCTGCAGGATGGCACTGAGCAGGATGCTCACCCAAATAGACCTAGATGCTACCCAGCCATGTGTTTCTGGTGTAGAGTTTGGAGATCAGCCAGCAGGGTAGAGCTGTTAAGAGTTGTTTCGGCAGTGGCAAGCTCAGCTGTAAATTCCTGTGGCCTCTCCAAGTGGCTTCAAATAGCTCCCTTGGACCAAGTAACGTGGACAGGTGGCAAGCAAAGGCAGCCTTGGTTCTCTGTGGGTTGTGAAGTCTTCAGTGTGGGCAAGTAGCCATGAGTCTGTGGGTTCTAACAGCTGTCTGCTGGCAAATCTGGGTTGGATCCTGTTTTACCAGGAAGCATAGATAAAGGAGCACTTTGCCCAGTTTGTCAGCAAAGGAGACCTAATGAGAGCTGGTATCAGCAACACCAAGCTGGTCCTGGGGTTTTACAGTGGAAGCACAGCTGGTTAGAAACCTCAGCCCTGGTAGACTGGAGCTATGTGCAAGCCCAGCCTTGCTGGCTGCAGGGAGCTTCAGGCAGCCAGACACAAGGCTTTGAGTTACTGCAGCACATGGGAAGGAGGGCGGCTGCAGCTTTCCAGCTTTTTCCTGGCTCTGCTTAACTTCATTGCCATGCCATCCATTCACAAAGCTCTGCTCTCCAGAAGGAAGGTCTGGCTTCTGAATCTTGCAATAGCTCTGAAAAAGGGGGAAGAGCTCGAATTTCCCTGTGTTACAGGGCCCCTCAATAACAAGCTGCCTGTGAAATGCTCAAGTTTTGTACCTTGGAGGGATGGCTGCAAAGCAAGGGGAGGAGAGAAGAGCCTGGGGATCCCAAACCGATTCTGTCCTTCATCACACTGCCACCAACAGCTGAAGAAAGCAATTTGCACCTCTTTCCCTCTCTTCCTTTGGTGTTGTCCAGCGGGCATCTTAATTCACCCACTGGCCAACAATGAAAAAATCAAAGGCAAATGAAAAGTAACTGAAAGGAATTTCTGTTTGCTTTGGAGCCCGAAAAGGAATTGGACTAAATCCCAGCATTACATCACTTTCATATATAAGCAATCCATTGCTATAATCAGTTACTTAATCCACTGCCAGCATGTTAGCTGAGCTGTTCAAAAAGATTGCTTGAGTAGAATGAAACATGGATCCAACTTCGAATGCTGTGTTGACTAATTGGTACTGTTTATCTGCTGTAGCCCACACAACTTCCAAGGTACCATAGGAATCATCAGGAAAGACGTTCCCTGGCCTAACTTCACATTAGTTTATAACAAGACATTGGTTCAAGCATAGTGACTAACAAATTTGCAATTTATATATGTATATGGAGAGGATAATGTAGGGGCTAAAGCTTATCTTCCAGTCTTCCTCCTTTGTGTGACTTTAGACAATCTCTGCTCATTGCTTGTGTTCATGCCCTCAGACCTTTAATCAAGTTTGGGATGCCTTACAGTAAGACTGCTTTGCAAAAGGCACAGCTATCACAATAACTGACTAGTAAGTGCTGCACACAACAAGAAAGCTGGGATTGCCTAAAAATAGAGTTGTGGGTGGGGGTTTACCAGCTGTACCAGTTAGCAGAATGTAAGATAAACTTTGGCAAGATTGTTTCTTGACCAAGGGATCCTTCTAATTTGGAAGACTTTAGGTTCAGGCCTTAACCTTGCAAAACATGCATACAAGCTTTCAGAAAAAAGCTTTGCATGGGGCTGAAAGTTCTCTATGAGTGTTGTCTGGGGTGTGCAGCACTCAGTGTATAGCTTTGCATTAGAGGTGCTCATGCTGATGCAGGAATTGCTGACTGTAGTGGGGATGGACGTGCTGGATCTGAAGGCAAGGTTGAGCTGCTGCCTTCTGTCGAGGCTGTTTTGCCTGAGCAGCACAACTTGCTTATGAGCCACACACCTTGCTTATGAGGCTGCCCAGCTTCTCCTGCCAGACCTTCATGAGGCTTCCTGCCTGTGGATCATCACCTCCAGTGTGACATCTGGGTTAGATGTTCTCCTGAATGGAGAGGTGAGGTCTTTTTCCAGCAGGACTGCCAGAAGAATGCCTACCTGAGTTGTCTTACCTGGCTTTGACCATTACAACTCCACAAAAGCTATACCAGTTATCATCAACTGGTCCTGATCACCACGTTATCATGTTGGCCACAACCAGTCACATGCCAGTCTGTCTTTCAAAGAGCAAACCATGAAGCAAACTCTGGTCTGGTTTGGAGTAGTCTTGTTAATCTGCGCCTTTTCTCCAAAAGCGGAAGGCATGTTCAGAACCTGATTTGAAAAAGCACTCAGAGAGGCTAAGATGCACGAAAAGGTTGTGAAATTCTTTTCTTGGAGTCAAACCTGGAAATGGTCTGAGGTTACCAGTAGACACAGATGTTTCCAATAAGGCAAGGAAGTCAGAGTCACATGGGATTCCTGTGGTCTTCTCACATTTTCAGGAGACTAAGTTTGCATTCTTGTCGGCATTAATGAGGTTATTTTTACATTCAAAACATCATCAGAAAGGGGTGATTTAAAAACACATGTTATTTTAGAAAACGTTATCACTTTTATAGTTAGGGAATGCTAAATTGTACAAAGTGCTCATTAGGAGTTGGATACAAATGAGTGTGTCTTTGAAGTATCAGTTGCATTTCCACAATGAACATCGTTCTGTCAGGAATTTATAGGAAAATAATTAAAATTAAATAATTAAAATTAAATGTTGGCAGGCTGCAAAGCTTGAGAACAAAATTGTAGGCTTTCTGTGCATAGTATTGCAGCATGGTCTTCCATTAATAACTGTGGAAAAGTTAACCTCAACATCAGCTATTTTTCATGGAACTAAGAGCCCCAAAGCCAGGTGATCTGCCCATCAGCTTGCAGGACTGCTTATGCCTTTTTTGTTTGTAAAAACAAAGCCCCGGGCTGGCTCTTGAGATGTTGGACCTCCATTTGTGAATTAGAGAGCAGCCAGCTCACAAAGGAAGGATACCACCCACATCTTGATCCGAGGCAAACTTCCCCTTATGCAGAATTACAAGGGTATGCATTGAACCTCAACAGGTTTGTTTAGGAAGCCAAGGTGAATCCAGGGATTGCAGGGATGAGAACTACTCACTATCTACCAGTAGGACAGTATTCAGCAAGCAGTAACTCCTGTTTTCCTAAGCCATTAGCACTACCCTGCTGGCTCTTCCTTCCCCTCCGGAGGGATGTTTACCACTACTTCTGATTAATTATTCTGGTTATCATTGCCAAAATAATAGATTTGTTTTTCATTTGAATTTCCTTATTTTCGTATCTCCTTTCCTTATACCCAATTGACTTGGTTACTCAGCCTCCAGATGAAAGTTTATAGTCCTGCATTGTCTTTGATGTGTCATGCAGTGTTTCTCCAAGATGAACTGCCTCTTTCCAGAAAGACGGTGAGAAGAATGACCAGATCTTCCTGGAAATGACACTTGTCTCACAGTGTAAATAAGCCAAATCTAGCTCCTGCAAAAGCAGTCAGCTAGCTTACACAAAAATGCCTACCATTGTTGAAAGAGCCACGCTCCCAAACTCTGGCAGAAGCCAAAGATTGTAGTTGTTAACGCTCATTCCCACACTTGAATTTGGCAAAGTAGAAGCCTATATCGTCTCGTTTCACCTTTTTTAGGAGTTTGAATGTTTTCTTTTCAGTAGGTTCCCCAGCTCAGTCAGTCCTGCATGACATAGTTACAGATACCAAGTGGCAGAGGTTGGCAGAGCAATGGGTGTTATCTGGGTTGTGGCAGATCTGAAGAGTCAGCTGCAGTCCCAAAGCTATGAGTAAGCTTCTGGGTAAGATTTCAACTGGAGGCTGAATTGGCAGAACTGTTCTTTATGCTGTGGGAGCCCTCAGACGCACAGTGCTTTATATGTAGGTATAGGCATGCATTGGTCACAAGCCAGCGTGACTGAGCTTATTCAGCTCTGACTTCAAATCACAGAATCATAGAATGGTTTGGGTTGGAA